TAGCGTCACTTTAGAATGATAGCTGAACCTGGGAGACATTTGTGCTGCTTTAACCTGTGGGTGATTGCAGGGGTCTGGGGGAGAGATGAAGCCCTGCAAATCCTCAAAATGAACCTGCCCACCCCACTTCCAAGAACAAACTGCAAAACTTTTTCAAGAAAAGGGTAAAGAAGGTCAAGGAAAAAGCAACATTCGGATAAAAGACGAAGGTATCATAGATATCCTAACTCCAAGAAGCTAAGTGGTCATATCCTCTTACTTGACAAATACACGTAGTTTCTATATCCACTGTGCTAAGAAAACTTTCTTTCAACACTCCAACATTTTTATATCCTCCCTTATATTTCTGTTCCTTAACAAGTCCATTTCTGGATTAAATAGGTAATATTACTGCCTTTATTTTGGCATTTTCAGTGGTTTCTTAATCTCCTACATTCTAATTACTCACGACTTTACTAAAACTGCCCTCTCTGTAGCATTAATGATGTTGCCTATCATTTTTAAATGTTTTTTTTTCCTTTTACAAGTGTGATTCTGAATTTGCACTAACCTGATTTGGCTTATACTACTCTGTCTGCTCAGTCTGTTTACACTGATATTCCCATTCTACTGCCAACGAAATAATGGCATTTTCCAAGTTACTTTGATAAAGTGTGAGAGGGAGAGACAGACAGAGAAAGCAAGTAAGAAAAAAAATAAGACGGAGTGAGAGGGAGAGGGAGAAGGAGAGGGAGAGGGAGAGGGAAAGGGAGAGGGAGAGAGAAAATCCTTCAGGGACCATTAACTCCCGAGGGTTCAATAATTCAATCTATTGTGAGATTTAATCTATTCTGATAACATCTTCTCTCAGCTCCAGGATCATTTTTTTAAAACAATTGCACATGGAAATTGAAGAGTTACAACTGAGAAATACCTAACATTTTTGATGTTCTCACAAAAGCCTACTCTGTCTCCTTAGCTCCCTCTTGCTGTTAAATACTTTGTTTTCCTAGAAGTAAAATGGAATTGGTTTTCAATTCCCTTTCATCAGCGACATCCAATAAAAAGTTAGTTACATAAACACCCCTGCTGGGCAGCTTCTCACATCAGCTCCACACTTCCTGTCCTTTTGTGACAACACTATTAAATATCCTGGCAATCCTCTAATTTCTCTCTGCCTTTCATCTCTCTCTGCTTGAATCAATCCAAAATATTACTAATGCCATGTCAATCAAACACTGTTCAAGCTCCTTCGTGGTCCGCATGTTGTCTTTAAAATAACTACAGAATGCCACTGTCTAACATTAAAATCCTCCCCAATTTGTCCTAGCTCTGTATCCTGCTGTTTCTGAACCAACTAGACTAATATCTGCAAACCTATCCCATTCGTGCCTGCCTCTAACTTTTTAATCAAACTATCTGCCTTTCCTCTAATTGTTTGTAATTTCTCATTCTCTTGATAAAATTTTATCAAGCCTCCAAATGGAGTATGGGGAATAAATCGCTTGTTATCAGATGGCCACACATTCCTCTTATGTCACATACAGATTTTTTCCAAAATGTGTTTTCAATCATATTTAATACCTATATAATTATATGAGAAAATAGTCAATATCACACATATGAAGATGAATTACACGGAGTCCCACTTCTGTTAATGGCAATGCAGCTTGTATTGAACTGTCTCACAGATAAAGATGATGAGCTAAGTAAAAACATATAAAAACATTATTGGAAGGCACTGGAGATTAGTTAAGAGAGACAAAGACTGAATCGTTTTTATTTTATTTTTGTTAATCCTCACCAGAGGGTATGTTTGTCTGGTTTTCAGTTTTAGAGAGAGTAGAAAGGGGGGAGGGAGTGAGAGAGAGAGAGAGAGAGAGAGAGAGAGAGAGAGAGAAATATCATTGTGAGAGAGATACATCAATTGTTTGCCCCCCTACTCATGCCCCAACCAGGCCAGGTAATCAACCAGCAACCCAGGTACATGGCCTTGACTGGAATAAAACCTGAGACCTTTCAGGCTGAGGCTCCAACCACTGAGCAACACTGGCCAAGGCTGAACAGTTTTCAATTTAAGGTAACCCACAGTTCATGTTATGAGAAAGGCTGCAGTGATGGCGAACCTTTTGAGCTTGGCGTGTCAGCATTTTGAAAAACCCTAACTTGACTCTGGTGCCGTGTCACATATAGAAATTTTTTGATATTTACAACCACAGTAAAACAAAGACTTATATTTTTGATATTTATTTATATATTTAAATGCCATTTAACAAAGAAAAATCAACCAAAAAAATGAGTTTGCATGTCACCTCTGACACGCGTGTCATAGGCTCGCCATCACTGGTGCTAGAATCAAGCAGAAAACTAGAGACTTTTTAGATTGGAAAGCCATAGAAAAGACATGCAAAGTACCAGCTCAGATGAAAAGCGAGAAGATATAACTGGAAACTGAGTGAGGAACCCTGAAATCTGTGTGTAGATTCTCCCCCAAATCCTTGGCTGACACATGAACTGCATGTGCAAGCAGACCATGAAAAGCAGTGGCTGGAAAATTGAAAGATTTGTGGCTGCTGATCATCCTAAAAGAGCTTTAAGTCCAGCTGAGTAAACTGCCTGCTAGAATAAAAGTCAACTTTCTTCAAAAGATAACAGAATCCAAGATCCAGAATGAAAACATATGACCTATGATGTCCAGTTCACAATAATAATTAATAGACATGCAAAGAAACAAGAAAATATGATTCAGAGTCAAGAGAAAAAGCAGTCATTGCAAACTTACTTTAGGTTGACCCACATTTTAAATTAGCACACCAAGATTTTAAAACAGTTGTTAAAAATATACGGTCAGTCACTTAAACGTAAATATAGTCATTATGAATAAAAACCGAGGGAACACTTAGTATACAAATAAAGAAAAAGAGAAAGGGACGATTCTAGATCTGAAAAGTACAATATCTACATGAACCATTAATGGGGTGGGCTTAAGAGCATATTAGGGATGTCAGAAGAAAGGATTAATAAACCTGCAAATAAATCAATAGAATTTATCCAATTTGAAAAATAGAGGGGAAAAAAGGTTGAATAAAAATGGACAGAATCTTGGTGATCTGTGGAACAATGATATATATAAAAGCGCAGCATGCTAATTAGACCAGATGTCCTTTTGGATGACCTTCTGGACAAAGCCAGGTCCAGGTGCCAGAGGGATGCCGGTGCCAGCAGCCGGGGGAAGAAAGGCCTACTCTCGCACAAATTTCATGCATCGAGCCTCTAGTGTGCCATTATTTTCAATAATATTTCTGCCTCATTCCCTCTTTCTCCTCTTCAGGGGGGATATTTATGAAACCTGAATTTATACCAGGAAGAGATTAGAGGACAATAAACATTTTTAGATGCTGAAAGAAAAAAAATGTTACCCCAGAATTCTATATCCAGAGAAAATTTCCTTCAAAGATAAAGATAAAATAAAGGCTTTTTCAGGTAAATAAAAACTGAGAGAATTTTTTTCCAATAGATCTGCACTATGATGTATACATATTGTATATATGTATTATATGTGTTTGTATACACATATGTATGTATATGTATATCCATGTGTATACTCATGTATATATGTATGTACATGCATATGCATTCTTTGTATATTTATTTATGTGTAAATATTCTGACTGCACTGGACCCACTTTCCTTCTATATCTTCAGCTAAAGTTTCCTATTATATCATCTGCACTGTCTCTTTAAAATAATTTAGTAAATGCACTGTGATGTGTTTGTGCATGCTACTTAACTTTAATCTATCACTGGCGGGGGGTTAGTTAACATTTAAAATATGCTAATCAAAAACCGGCCTACAAGGGCACTTAACAGATGAAATACCTCAATCAGGGCACTCTCCAGAGGCAGCTTAGAGCAAGCACTTCAGATATTGTTAATTATATGTGCACCTGAGTGTTCACTACTAAAGGAAATATCAGAAATAACTTTTCTCTAGAGAAATGAATGTTGTGCTTTATATGCGCTGGCTGAAAATACAGGGTGTCCCAAAAATGTATATATACTTTAACAGCTGATAGCTCAATTGTTAAAATCAAATGTATTTTAATGAACACTGCCTTTATACTTATTCAAAGTGTGTGCATACATTTTTGGAGATGCCCCTTATTTATAGTCAGAGCTGCCCTCTCATAATGGGGATCTGAGAATCAAGACCGTCCAGCGGCTCCGCTACAGAGTATGCAGAGCTCTGCTTGATCTGTGTCACATCCTCATGCGGGATTCTGCCTTTTGTCCTAAATCAAAGGACAAAGCAGACCCTGACATCGGAATATTGTTTAATATGCTTCAGAGAGGGACTGTGATGTAAGGTGTTTGAGATTGTGCCTAGGATAAATGCAACTTGAGAGCTTACCCAGTTTGTTAAGATAGGTTATATTTCAACCTATTTCTGTTTACTAACAAGCCTAGTGATGGGGTGTGGGAAAGGAGACATATAGCTCTCACCCACTCATTCTTAATTTATCAGTTTGCAATCTCTCCCTACCTCCAATTCCACCTCCCTACTTAACTTGAAGAAGGAACAATTACAGAATCAACAAGTCCTTGCATGTCCTTTATAAAATCCTATATGTAGTAATTGTAGTCTTATAAATTTATTTATACGTACATACATATATAAATCTATATATATGTTCATTCCAGTTTGGTGGTTACATTAATAAAAATTATATAAGAACACAATAGAGAACGTAGTTTCATATTAAGAAATACTTTTAAGTGGGCAAATTAAGGAAATGAAATTGTTCAGTGAGTGAATACATTAAGAATTAACTGGCTCACAAACTTTATAGCTGACAACGATTTTAAAGGCTCTGAGCGATTATTTCTCTGACTCAAGCAAACAGAATCAGTATTTCCTAAATGCCTTTCTCTTTCATCAAAGGAAATCCCACAACTCTTCATTGAAAACAAATAATTCTCATCATTATTTTTATTGACAACAGTAAATGAAATGATCTTACCTCCATATGGTACCCAACTCTGATGAAGGTGCAAAGTGGGTCGAAAGCTCCAGTGCCACAGGTCAGGAGGTGTGTCCTGTTGTAGTGATGCAAAACCCGAACATAATTTGCACATTCACTCTGGAGCAGAAAAAAAAGAAGAAGTGGTTAGTGGAATAAAAATGTTTAACCCTTTTTTATTTTTGCGTTTCCTAACCCCAGGAATTTAAGTCTTCCCTGGCTAGAAGAGGCAAAAGGTGCAGATGAAAAAAGGAGAAGGAGAAGAGGAAGAAGAGACCTGGATGATGGATGAGCATTTTTGTTAGCAGCGATGTAGGACTTCCACTTAATACCGGGAGTGAATTATTTTCATGAATTCTAGTATGCACTGAGAAATTTTAAAAAAAACACTGTTCGGAAATTTATTCAAGCGTGAAGTTTGAATATGTTCCACTAAGTAATTAAGTTAGTCCCAATGTTGTTATTTTTTGAAAGTACATATAAACAATGATTCAGCAGAAAGTCAGAAAACCAATAATTAGAAAAAGCATCTCTACTCATAAGAAAACAGATACAGACTTTAGAGCATTTACAGAGTTTTAATGTTGGGGAAATAAATCATATCTTCAAACATTAAATTATATAAAGCACTTTAATAGAGAATTTCCAAGTAAATAGATAGAAAACTAGCCAATAAAAATAACATTTTATAGTGATTACAATAAGAGCATAGTTGAGGGATCAGAAAACTCTTTCTACAAAGGATCATATAGTGGACATATTTAGTTCAATGGGGGTCTGATCTCTACTACTTACATTGTGATTGCAACTACTTATCTCTGCAGTTACAGCATGAAAGCAACCATAGACAATACACAAATGAGTGTGGATGCCTATGTTCTAATAAAACTTTATTTATGGCAGGCCACATTTGGCCCAAGAACTCCAGTTTGCCTCACTGGTAATCAACTGGAAGCTTTTTGAGAACAGAATGTTTATTTTACACATCTTTGTATTCCCCAGTTAATCAAACACAGTATCGAATACATATTACACTTAACAAAGTTTTAATACACAATCACTAGGAGAGTTTTATGATCAGTAAGCTGAATGGAAAAATATTTAAAATTGCTTCAAACCAATTTGGCAAAATTAATTCCAGCAAATACCTTGTTGGCAGATTAGGTATTATTACTTCATTTAAAACAAATTATTAGAGAAATACTAAACCTTTAAATGGTAAATATTATTTTGACATTGATACATGCAATAATGCAATAATCAGTAGAGAGAATATTTTATGAGGACAGACTGTGGCTTTAAAGGCTCTGATAAAATACTGTTTGGATGAAAAGCCAGCAGAACCATCTCATCATAAATGATTCAGGTTATAGCATTACTGAACTGATTACCCAGGGCACATATTTATTTCTTCAATTTCCCACTCATGTAGCATTTTATTCTAAGGGTGACCCATAGAGTGGAATAATGTATTTTCCCCCAGGCGTGGAGAAAATATTCTAGTCTCATCTATATATATATATATATATATATATAGGCCTAAGTGACTGTTACGGCTGAGGGACCAGAATGACCAGTCGACCAGTCCCTATGATGTGCACTGACCACCAGGGGGCAGATGCTCAACTCAGATTAAAACATTAAAACCCTGGTAATCAGTGTGCCCCCACAGCCAACCTCCCATGGCCAGCCAACCTCCCCTGGTCCCTTCCCACCACCGGCCATCCTCCGGTGGCCCATCACCCAGGCTGGCAGGCCCCAATTGGCCTGGCCCCAATTGGCCTGGCCCCAATCAGGACTGGGTGAGACAGCCCTGATGGCCCTGATCGCCGGCCAGGCCTAGGGACCCTACCCATGCCCAAATTCATGCACCGGGCCCTCTAGTATTGCTATAAGTGCCTGCTTTTCATCTGTTGAAACACCGACGCATCTTGACTAAGCCAATTAGCCCACATTTTGGCTCAGCCAGGCTTACATTGACATAGCCTTAGAGTGTGTTCAATTCGTCAGCCTCACACTGAGGACCAAGGCAGCAAGAATGTCTTGGCTCATTCCTTGGCTGGGACCCAGTTACTACAGAGAATTGAGTTGGCATAATGTGTGTGAGTCTTTTGCTTTCTTCCTGAAAAACAGGATAAGCTAACTTTCAAAAGGAGATGTGCATGCCTTTCTCCAAAGGTGTGCAGGTGTCATTGGCCAGCTAGGCTGAGCAGGTGAAGGTCACTCCTTCACTCATGTGTTAGTGTGCTCCCAACTCTGACAGGGAGGGTGCTGCCGTCACGCGTCCTCACTCACGCACTGCAGAGAAGCTGTGGGGAAGTGGAATGCTGAACCTGTGAGCAGGAGAGACCCTTCAGCAATATGTGAAATATGTGAGGCATATTTACTGCTTTTGCCTTCTTTCTTCAAACTATTTTTTCTTTCTCCTTTTGTTTCTGCATGTTTCTAATTTACTAAACAAAGGGAAATGAAATCTCCCTGAGTGTGCTTAGTTTTTCCTCAAATTAAAACACTACCTACAAGAGATCAACCGAAGGACTTGTATACATGTATATAAGCCAAACCAATGGACATGGACAACAGGGGGTTGGTGCCTTACTTCTCACATTTGTAATACCTTAGCTAATAATAAAAAAATAAATAAATAAAAATAATAATAAAAACAACACTACCTACAATTTTTTCCCCCAAATACATAGGAAATAAACATTAGCATAAGGAATTTATAAATGTGAGTTGATGAATATAATAAAACAAA